CAGCACGTGTGTCCAGGGGGAGGGCAGAGCCAGGGCAGCCCCCTCCCCAGGGCAGGATGAGATGGGGGGGACACACAGGTTTGGCACAGGTGACATTCCTGATGGGGCTGAACGCATCTGGAGATTTTGGGGGGGGGTGGTCCTCTATGGGGCGAAGCGCTCAAAGACCCAGTCGCCCTCTCCCCGGTGCGTCATGTCCCCCGGGGGGGGGTCGCCCTCCCGCAGGCGTCGGAAGACGATGCGGTCGTGCAGGCGGTTGCTCTGGCCCTGCCAGAACTCTATCACCTCCGGATGCAGCACGTAGCCCCCCCTGGGGACACACAAACACCAGGCTTTAGTTTTGGGGGGCTATGGGGGGTGTCCCCCAGGGTGGGCAGCCCCAGCCACTCACCAGTATGGGGGCTTCGGCACCGTCGTCTCCCTGTAACGCTCCTCCAGCTCCGCGTTCTTCCTCCTCAAATACTGCGGGGAAGGGGGAGGAGGTGAAGGACACGGCGGTGGCCGGGGGAGCCCCGGTTCTCCTGGGGGAGCCCCAGTTTTCCTGGGGGAGCCCCGGTTCTCCCGGTGCTACCAGGCTACAAAGATGCTGAGGGGCCTGGAGCATCTCTCTGATGAGGAGAGGCTGAGGGACTTGGGGCTTTTTAGTCTGGAGAAGAGAAGGCTGAGGGGGGATCTGATCAACACCTATAAATACTGGAAGGGTGGGTGTCAGGAGGATGGGGCCAGGCTTTTTCCAGTGGTGCCCAGGGACAGGACAAGAGGAAATGGGCACAAACTTGGACATGAGAAGTTCCATCTAAACATGAGGAGGAACTTCTTCACTGTGAGGGTGGCAGAGCCCTGGCAGAGGCTGCCCAGGGAGGTGGTGGAGTCTCCTTCTCTGGAGACATTCAAACCCCACCTGGACACGTTCCTGTGGGACCTGCTCTGGGTGGACCTGCTCTGGCAGGGGGTTGGATGGGATCATCTCCAGAGGTCCCTCCCCACCCCATGTCATTCTGTGAGTGTGGGCACTCACCTCCCTGTCGGGGATGATGCTGCTCTGGTGGCTGACGACGGCCCCGATCTGGCTGCTCTTGGGGCGGGAGTGGAAGTACCGCTCCGATTCCTCCTCCGGCAGCCGCTTCACCGAGCCCTCGATCCGTACCTGGGTGGGCAACATCACCTGGGCTCCTTCTGGCCAACGGGCACCGAAGGGGCTGCGTCGGCTCCTGAGCGAGGAACCACCCCGTGCCCTCACTCTCCCCGCAAAACACATGGAGAACCCCCATCCCGTCTCATCCCCAGGGGGCTGGGACCCATCCAAGTGAGCAACCACCCCGTCCTCTCACTGTCCCCCCCCAAAACATATGGGAACCCCCCATCCTGTCTCATCCTGGGGGACTGGGACCCATCAAGTGAGGAACCACCACATCCTCCCACTGTCCCCCCTCAGAACATGTGGCCACCCCCTGTCCCATCTCATCCCTGAGGGGCTGGGACCCATCCAAGTGAGCAACCACCCTGTTCTCCCACTTTCCACCCCAAAAACCATGGGCCTGGGACCCATCCAAGTGAGGAACCACCATGTCCTCCCCCTCTCCCCCCAAAAAACACATGGGCACCCCCTGTCCCACCTCATCCCTGGGGGGCTGGGACCCATCTGACAGTGATCCCCACCCAAATGTGTGATCCCCAACATCCCACCCTGAGGTGGGGGAGCATCCCCTGCCTGACATGGTACCAAGGGCCCATCTGTGCTCCCCCTGACACCCCCCTCCCCACCCCAAATCCCCAGGGGACCACCACTCACCTGCCGGTTAAGGGGCTCCCAGTAGAAGACCAGTGAAGCGAAGGGGTTGGCGTCCTTGGTGGGGAGAGAGGGGAGAGCTGTCAGCAAACCAGTTTAAAAATGAGAGCCTCAGCCCCGATGCAGAGGGGGGGGACCCTCTGGGGACACCCCCACCCCCCAGAGCCCCCAGAACCCTCACCAGCTCCTTCCCCTTACGGCTCTCGTGGTTGGTGAAGAAGCGGAAGCCGTCCTGCCCGAAGCCCTTCAGCAGCACCATGCGGGCCGAGGGCTTCCCGTCCCTGCGGCGGGAGAGGGGAGGCGGTGACAGGTCCCCCCGTCCCCCCGTCACCAGGGGACCCCCATTGTCCATCCCCCCACGGTGTGTCGGCGTCGTCCGTGTGTGTGTCCCCCCCCCTCTTTCCTGGTCTCACCTGGTGCAGGTGGCCAAGCACATGGCGTTGGCCTCCCCGATGGCCGGGCACCCCACGGCCTCCTGGAACCAGACCTGGAACTGCTGGATGGGGTCGTGGGAGGCCAGGTGGTGCTCCTCGAAGGCCTGGGGACATGGGGACACTGTGAGATGAGGAGGTGGGGGGGGGACACTCGCCTTTGGGGACACAGCCAGCACTGGAAGGGATTGGGGGGGGTCACACCAGACGCAAGGGCACGGCCAGCACAGGGGATGGGGTGACCCCTAGAAAGCAAGGGGTCACCCCGGGTCTTGGGGACAGCTTGGAGGGGGGGGTGTCATCCCAATTCCAGGGGGACAAGCGGCATGGAGGGGGGGCCATCCTGGTTCCAGGAGCAGGGGGGTGTCACCCCAAGCCCTAGGGACATCCTGGGGGGGGG